TGCCTAACAACCAGTGGTCCACGTGAAAAGCAGTGAAGGGATGCAGGAGATTCTGAAAACCTTATCTAAAATTTAAATAAGTTTTTTAAATTTATTTTTAACTGTAAACTGTTGTAGGTAACAAAAATACGTTTTCTGCTTAAACTACCCTTAAAAAACGTTAAAGGTATTATAAATCTGAAAATAACTTTGGTAGCAATTTGTGTAAATATCAATAAACCTAATCAAAGCAGCATGCAAGTAAAAAGCCGTTTATTTTATTTGTAAAGATAAAATTATTGTAAAATTAAATATTTATTCCCTTAGTGGCCACAGAATGGCTTGGCAATTCCTCAACTGGCAGCAAAAACAAAGAAAAACCGTAAACACAATTATCAGATGTCCTGGATTGGCTCAGCCGCATCCCGATTTCGCTGGGGCAACGCCTTAAATCATTTTAAGCAAACACTTGGTACCAAATGGCCGCCCATTGTATAAACTGCAGAATGCCAGAATGCCGCTTGGCTTATCAAAAGAAAGCTTATTAATAACTCATATACATAATGCAACCAGATCGGGCCAGGGGCGAGGTGAGGCCGGCATAATCACTAAATCAAAACTCCCCGACATGAGAAATGTGGAAATTGAAAAACGTTTCAGCACCGAGTGCGAGTGGGTTCCGGGAAAAAACAGCTCCATTGAGAGGCGCACACAAATAACTCAGCGGCGAACCCAAGACCCCGAGACCTCAAGATCTCGAGGTGCAACTCCAACTCCGGTTGGGAGTCGAAAACCAACCCAGAACCCGAAAAAGCCAACTGAAAACGCCCAAAGCGCGATACTCAACACTTCGGACAAGTTCTTGACACCGATGGAACGGCCTCCATCCGAAGTCTGGAAAAGGGAAAATATTTTTTATTGGCCATTTCAATTATCTTAATGCACTTTAATATGCCAGGCGAGTTGAAAACTTTTTTACCGTTTCCACGCCGGTCTCCGCCGAGTGTGTTTGTGATTATCAGCTAATAAGGCATCCATAAATTTTGGTAAGCAGCAGCAGCAGCCGTGGCCCGAAAATGCCAGACGACTCAAACGGCTCTTGGCCAGATCGCCTCGAGATGATGCCGCAGATTGAGCCGGCCAGATTGCAATTAATTTGCAATAACTTTTGATAAATGCGCGCCTGCGTTTTGGGAGGGAAGTGGATTTAACGTCACACGATAACGAGTTGACGCGATTAACCGGGTAGATATGTACATACATATATGTATGTTATAGTCTGTATTCCTGGCCGGGCCAGAACCACTCCCGTTAGCCGCGAGATAGAGAGGCAGCACTTAAGTGAAATCGAAGGTTCACCACCACAACCACTACCAGTCCTTTATGGCTTCCCCGAAAATCGCAAATATTCCCAACGGCAATATCATTTTATTAACTTGCCATCAAACTTTATGCCGGCCAGCGCAACAAAAATGCCAAACGATCAGTGTAAAAGTCGCATGCGACAAATTTGCGGCAGGCCGCAGAAGTCGGGAATGCGGGGAAATATTTGAAAAATTTCATCAATGAGCGAAAAGTTAATAAAAAATAATTAATTTAAGCGAATTGGCCGGCGCAGGGCGGGGCAGCCAGTTGGCATCGGAATTGGCGCTGCAAGCGCATTTAAATTGAATAAAAGTTGCTGAAAGACGGCGATGTTGCTGCTCCTGCTGCTGATGCAACTGCAACTGCTATTGCTGATGCCGCTGCCGCTGCCGTTATGCGCTTAACATCTTGGCATCCAATCAATTAGTTTTTATACGCTTCCATTGCCAACTGTTGCTGTTTGTTGCTGTTGGTCTGGGCCAAGCCCCTCTTTCTCTTCGTCAGCCGTGTCAGCAACAAATTGGCGAAGGGACCGACCCGGCGACAACTTGCAACCACTGGCAACAACGGCAACTTGCAACAGCAGTACCAATGGCAACTGCCACAACCACGATGACAACGGCGCGGACAACTTGCAGCTGCATTAACACTGCACGGGAAAAAGGAGAGATCATTTTCAACTGGTTATTAACAGATCGAAATTGCCTATCTCTGCATGCTTTTTATTTGAATACTTTGTTTTTACTAAGAGTATCAGCGAATGTAACAAACCCTTCTGGGATTTAAGGCTTCGGTCTTCTAGATAAAAACTATTATTTTACAATAACAAGAAAAATGTGAAATGAACATTTGCAATCAGAAATATTTTAAAAACAAATAATTCAACAACATGTTAAAAACGTTAAAATAATATAATTTCCATCATAAAGTCTCATTTAATATTTGATAAATATATTCTTTAACTTTAATTTATTGTAAAGAACATGAATTTTTGACTTAAGGTGCCCAATAAATCTGAAATTTCCTTTTTTTAAACACCCCTAAACTTTAGTTTTTAGTTATGACCTAATATTTTCTGAGTGGACACCGCAAAAACCTCATTTAACTGTATTCTATCGAGTTATATCTAAAGCGATTCCGGTCAAACAAATAGGCAACGCAATCAGGGTAAACACTCTGCTGTAATTATTTCAATCGCTAGCCTGTATCCCAGTGCAACCAGCATTTCCTGCATCTGCTTAAATGTGATACTTTCCCAAACAGAAAAAAAAAAACAAATATCAAATGCTGACTTAAGTCTTCGGGCCGGGTGAAATGTTATTCAAATGGCTTTCAAATGCCAACGAAATGTGCGCAAGTTTGCGGTTTCTGCGATTGACAAATCAATTTGGCGATGGCTTTTGGGGCTGGGATTTGGTTTTTTTTATTTTTGTCGAGAGACAGAGCCAACACCTGCTGGCTGATGGCATTTCTTATTCTTTTTCGGCTGACCGAGAAATCCCCGCTAGCCGACACCTTCGAGTCGAGGCAGCCACGTCGATCAAAGCCATTCGAACACTTGGCAAATATATGCGCATTGCTAAGCAGTTGGCTAAGGGGGAGGTGATTTAAGGGGGAGCGGTATCCGGGGGGCAGAAGGTAAATCGACGACAAGCTGGCGGCAGCTACGTCTGCATAAATGCATGAGGATGCCTCCAGCCGCATCTGCATTTCTGTGGCGGCTTAGCACAAACTGCCAATGGCTTTTGGCCAAGTCATTGCCGCTTGTTGCCGATGCCGTTGCTGTTGCAGTTGCCATTGTTGCTGTTGTCCAAACACAACTGAAGTGCTAAAAACATTCCAATGTCAGGTATTAGCAATTTAAGTTAACCCGCTTCCCGCTCCGCAGGAATCATCCGACCAAGACTCCTTCGGTTTGTGGCGGCTTCGCCTGACGAGTCCACAAAGTGATCCCGAGGAAAGGAATATTTTCCTTTTTGATTGCCACAATGTGCCTGTCGATGTGGACGCAACAAATTAGACAGTTTGCTAATCTACTGAAAGCGTTTCAGCTCATAAATCATAAACGATCAAAGGCTTGAAATTCTTTTAGAGAAGGTTTTCGTTCTTACTTAACTGTAGGCGGGGTAAGTTTTCAAATGAAAACGAGATGAAATTGGATGTTAAATTGGATTCGTTTTGAGATTCAAAAAGTAATCAAAATTTTTTTCTATTTTTAACAAAAATCGGCATTCTGAACATTTATTCGAGGACTGAAAGATATAGTTTTTTAAGAAATAGTTATTTAAAAGACCACTACTTTGTTTTACAATTTGCCTGAGTAAGCAAATTTTTAAGTCAAGGGTCCATTAAATTTAAAATCTCCGAATAGCCATTATTATCGGGCCTGCATTTACCTTATTATTTCTTTAGTTATAACTATTATTACAAAATATTGTTTGTCTTAAATTAAATACTCATATATTATTTAGAATTATATATATTTACATTTATAATTATGTTTCTTGCGCTCATTTCAATTTCACTGCCTGGAGACATGTTGCCTGCCGCAAAAACCAAGTTGCATACATTTGCATTGCCGTGCGGCAATTGGGGCATCCCAAAAAGTGTCCAGAAAATGAGGCCCAAAGGGGGTTGGTCAGGGAGGGGAGGGGGGAAGGGCGGCCCTGGAGTTAGAGGCGCGGTCGGCTGGGCAAAACCCAGCGGCAACAGCAACTTTTGCGCGATTCTCTGGCTAGTTGTTTGTGTTAATTGAGTTGTTTGCAGCTTGTGTTGCTGTTGCGGCTTCATGTTGCTGCTGCTGTTGCCTGTTTCGCTGCACATTCGTTCGTTTGTTGCATTCATTCCGTTAAGATTTTTTTTAAACACACGGCCAGTTGTAGCTGCTGTGATTTTTGTGTTCTCCTGTTGTTCTATGTCCTCCCGCAGTCCCCCATTTTGCCCCCAGTCCGCTTGCAATTTTACAGCAATTAGTGCTGCTTGTGTACACTGTCAGTTATTCCTCTGCAGATTTTCAAGTCAAGTGAGTGTTTGGGTTCGTAGCCGTTGTGTTTTTCCCCTTTTTGTATGCCTCAGCCTTGTCTCTTAATGTCGCGCGCATCAGGCGAAATGAGTCATGGGAGCTGTGCTTGATGTTGCTGCTGTATCTGGTGTTGCTGTTGTCGCTGTTGCTGTTGCTGTTGCTGCTGCTCCTGGCACGCTGACTAATATGCGAGACTCTGAAATTGAAAAACGGACACTAAATTAAGAAAGACATGACTAACAGACATAAACATCGCACTTTTTATGCTCTTGCTTGGTCAAAAATGGAATAATCGCTAGAAGAATCCCAAAGAAACCTTAAGGGCTCATATAATTTGTTGAACTGTATTTTTATGAATTTAATTTAAATACAAAAAAAAATGTAAAACTTAAGCCATTCCTTGATGAGCCATTTAACACACCGTTGCATTGGATTTTATTTTCCGTAACCTTAGATTGACCTTTCAAATGTAACTTTCTCAACATATAAATTTAAAAAACTACTGGAAGATTTAAACAAGTTCTCCAGTAATATTACTTTTAAATGTTGCTCATCATTTGTCCTATCTTAGTGACAATAATTTTATATAAATCTGTATTCAAATGTAATATGATTTTTAAAAAGAACACTTAAAACTTTTTTAGCGGTTTTACTTTTGTATTTGATTGAACAATTCTTTCAAATTTTAAAGATCTATTTAGTAACAATTGAACTATTTAATTTATTTATTGGGTCTTCTGCTTTTTAATAATCGGTTTATCCCACTTAGACGGGGGACTGATGCTGCGGGGCTCCCTATGTGCCAAGTATATGGGCAGCGGAGTATCTTCCGGCAGCTTATCCCGGTCCAACTTAGTGTTCAAAAGGCGATCCATGGCTCTTTGACCGCGAATCTGATCCCTGACGGCAGCCATGTATGGGCAATCGATATGGGAGTTACTGGTTCCCTGTGTGTAATCCAACCTCAACCGCCGGCTGTTACGAATGGCATCGATTAAGGCATTCGTCGCGCTCATACTTCTCGGTTCTGACCAGGAGGAATCGGAAGCCTGGTTGTTCCTATTCATTTTAAATAGAGTTTCTTGATTTCAATGATTAATTTTCAACGTGCTAGTTGAGTTGGTGTAAATTTCAGTGCTTACTAGAATTTTGAAACGAATTGTATTTATTTTTATATAAGTTCCACCATGTCTATCTGATTTCAAAGCCGTATAATTCAAAAACCCGCACTCTGAAGCGTCGGACTAGCCAAATTCGAAAACTTTAAGTTAATGAAGAAACAGAAGCCTGGTTGTTCTCCTATCATCTGAAAGTTCTGGGTTCAACTCTTGCCATAAAAATTAGCTTTTTATTTGGTTGACTCAGGTCACGTTTTTGTAGCCTTTAAGCCAAAGTGTGTAAGCCCACAAGAAGCATAATACATATTTTAAGTTTGGGTACTGCCATCCAAATTGATATTATTCTATACAGACCAGAACTTTTTTGCCTACAACGTAACACGCTTAAGAGATGTAGTCATGAACATTAAGTATATATTAGTTAAAATTGATTAATTTATTTGATAAGCGATCTCTTGGCGTTCAAAGAAGATTTCTACTTCTTTTGAAAAGTCTGTAAATCCCACTTGCTCGCGGGGCTGATGCTGCGAGGTTCCTTGTGAGCCAAGTAGTATGGTAGTGGCGTGTCCTCCGGAAGACTATCCCTCTCCAGCTTGGAATTAAGGAAGCTATCCATATCCTTCTGCTCTTTATCCTTTATCCCGGCATCGGAAAGGTTGTGCATTGTTTCTTGACACGTTCTTAGAAAGGACAGAGACCTCATGTACAAATCTCTGTTCTGTTCCAAAGCCGTTGAAATGGAATTTGAGCTCTGGTTATTCATTTCGTAGATTTTCTTAAAGAAATTTTCTTGCGTTTTGCCCAGCTGGTACAACCTTGTGACAATTTTGACACTTGAGCTGCCACCTTTCATCACTATAATCATTTTACTAGGTAACTCTAGCAACTGTGTGGAAACTCTACAGATTATTATGCGAATGGCAAATTTTTAAATTTCAAATTTCGTACTTTATATTTCGGATAACGTTAGTATGCTCAAAAAAAAAATTCATCAAGCCGATAAATTTGGTTTATATTTTTATGATATAAAAAATATAATCATGACCACATAAGCTTCTTGAAAGACTCCAAAGCTCGTCGGTTAGGGTATGGAATCTAAACGCATGGCACTCGAACACGCCCAAGTAGAAAAATGGGTAAGGATTTGCCACAGACAAAAGCCAAAACAAATATGCAGTGGGACCCACAGAGACCCCCAGCAAAAGCAAAAGCAAAAGCAAACCCGCTGCTGGTGCAGCAACAAAAAACGTTTTGTGTCACAAAATATTTGAATGTAAAGTGCGCCTCAGACTGCGAGCTCCGGTAGATTTAGATTCAGTCTTGGTCTCGATTGCAGCTTTGGTTTGCTGTCTTTATTCCCGTCGCTGCCGCGATATTCGAGCTATAGCTTGGGCTATAGCTTTGGCTATAGCTGACGTGCGCCTGCGCGACCACGCCCCCTTCGCCGCACCGCCCCAGCGACCGCTCGACTGGATCACTAATTGGTCACGACAGCGAGTTTCCATTTTTTCTACGATTTTTAAACTCTTTGCTACGATTCTCTGTTGTTGTTGTTGGTTTAGTATTTTTGTTTTGTTTTTTTTTTTTTGCTAAACGAAAAGTAAAAACCATTGAATTTGGCAAGAGGCCGTTGCGATTTCGTTTGGCCAGCTCGCTGAGGCTGAAACCTTCAATTTTAGTAGCTTTTCTGCCGCTCGCAGACAGCCAGCCAGCCAAACCACCTACCTTTTGGCCAAGTCCCCTCCAGATGGGGTATTAAAGTTTAGCGTCGCAATTGATTTTAGTCGTCAGTTTTATGGGCTTTTGATTTTCTTCATTGTACTGGCTGATGTTTTCGGCTGCCATGATGGCGCAAACGTAAAACAATTTGCTTGACTTGACTAAAATTTATTCCATGTTTTATTATTGATTATAATTTTAAATGGAGTTTTAATCATTTTTTGATGTTTGCCTTAATGATGCACTATTATTTAAGAGGGGAAACATTAAGAAGAATTTTCTGGTTTTAGTTTTGCAATATGCAACGAATTACCATTTGATTGAAAACATGTTGAAATAAACATTTCATTACCAGGATTTACTTTATTTTAACGATTGTCTAGTGAAAGCAAGCCTATTTTTAATGTTTTCTATAAAAATGTTGCAAATAACACGCTGTTTTTAATTTTAGACTTAACTCCCACACTGTTTATGGGTTTCGTTATTTATGAGTCCTCTTTAGTGGCTGGAATAACAACAATAAACATTTCGGCAACCGCCGAAGGCAGGCGACCAACAGACAACGTCATTCATCAAATAAAATTTACTTAATGAAATTAATAAATAAATTATGATATAAATCTTGAACAGTCCCCGAAACGCAGCCGCAACGTTGTCGTTGTCGGTGTTGCAGCAGCAACATTTTTATTAAAAAGCTCTAAATTATTGGCAGTCGCATGCGATGCCGACAAACGAGCCTGGTCAGCTGCTGTTGGCTTTGCTTTTGTCGATGTTGTCGATGTTGCCTTTGCTTTTTGGAGCTCCGGCACAACCAGCTAACCAGCAACAGCAGGCACACATTAACGAGCAAATGTCAATTTCGAGGCAATCTTTTTGCAATTTCTGGCTTTTTTAGTTAATAATTTTTGGCCGTCCCGCTGCAGCAGCCACAACTGCAACAACTGCAACAACTGCAACCGCCGAAGTTGCCGCCGTCGATGTGCAGAAGCAACAGCAACAACGTCGTGTCGGCTTTCGTAATGTGCAAAGAAATATTTGCGGCTAGTAAAATTAAGTTAATATTTCCTTTTTTTGGTTTTGGGAGTTTTTAATTGAACGCCGCGGCGCTGAAAAAAAGTTTAGGAATACTCTACAATATAAAAAAAATAATTTTGTTAAAAGACTTCAACAATCGATATATGTATTATTTTGGAATGAAAGTAAAGGATTGAGTAAATGTAACAAAAATTAAAATTAAATATATATCCGATCGATTTTTTAAGTTTTAAAGAGTATTTTAGCTTCTTCATACAGCAAATTAACTTTTCTTTCCCATTTGTGTTGGGCACTTGATAAATTTCTGAGCCAGCCGACAAATATTTTTCTGTTTTCCTGATCAGTTTTTTTTCTGCGCCACGTAAATGTGTCAAATATTGACAATTTATATGAAATCGACATAGGTGCATTGGTCAAAAAAAAAAAAAAATCATCTACAAAAAACTGATTTTGGCGACTGGCAAGAAATATGAGTTAAATGCGTTTTTTGGGTCGATGCAATAATTTTTCTATGCCTTTTTGCAGTTTTGATTGCTGTTGTTAGTTTGGTGTTGTTTCCAATTGTTGCTCTTGGTGTTGCTGTTGCAGTTGCAGTTGCTATTGGCTGTGGTTGCTGTAAACAGGAGATTGTTATTTGCAACCCGCTGTGCGTACACCGCAAACTGGACAACTTAATTTGGCTAAAGTCGCTTGTTAGTGTTGCTGTTGCGGTCTGGCCGGCCATTGTTGGTGTTGCTGGCGTTGCTGGTGTCGCAGTTTGCGGTCCACGTTCACCACATCATATCACATCCGAGCGCGGAATGCCAGCCGAGGCTCCGAGATGAATATGAAGATGAAGCAACCGCGGGTTTCTCCACTTTTTGCCGCAGCTATCGAAATGGTAGGCCATCGACTGGAACTAGTTTCCCGCATATCAAATGCAGTTGCAATATTCACAATTAGAGAAACACGAAATTAGAATGCAGAACCAGGTTCCAATTTAAGTTTAACTTTTACAGATATATCGCTGTGAGCCAGAGGTGGTGCGAGCTGTAACGGTCATTGATAGCTTTCTAAAAAAAATATCAATATATTCGATATTACAGAAATTTTAGAAGATATATTTAAAAAAATAAAAAAAGGCTTTATTTTCAACAATTCATTTGCCGTACTTGAACTTATATTTTAAGCACCAATAATTGACTTAAAAATTTTACAATTTATAAGCTTTTGTCCATTTTAATAATTTTAGTTCCTTGATTAAATGTTTTTATGTGACTTAGAAATACAAACACTTTTCAATATTTTCATAGTTACGAAAAAATCTCTTTAAAAGACATTAAATAGCTGAATTAATATCACCAATTATATAGCTAATGTTTAAACAGTTCTAAAAACTATTGATTTCTTGCAGACGGAAATCTTAATAGGTTTTAATTCTTAAATAAATAGAGCTTAAAGTCTAAAATGTTCTAATACAATTTAGAAATAAACTTGGTAAATGCTCAAGCGATACTTTTAATTAACATGTTAACTTTTTACCAGCTCTAAAGCGACGCTTGTCCTGTGTGCCATATTTCACGTCATTGATTAATTTGTTGACTGGCTCGGCTTAATAATCGCCACACGACTGCGGGAAAAACAATGCAGCCAGGGAAAACAAATCCCCGTCTGCAGTGCGGCAACAATTGCAACGGCAGAGGCAGCGGCAGCAGCAGCAACATGAAAGTTGTCGCGTCACAGGCAACAAACGACATTTATCATGTTAACCTTTGGAGTGCATTTGTCTAGACGTCTTCAACGAGGGTTCATGTTGTTCTTGTTGCAGTGTCGACCAAATGCGGAAGAAAAAAAAGCGGTTTAGGCCCCGCAGGCGCAAAAAGGAATCATAATAATTTGTAATAAATTAACGCCTCGTGTGTGTTGCAGTGACAAACGCAACAACAGCGGCGGCAACACCTAGCATTTGGGCCTGCGAAGGATTAAAACACGCCCAGTCTCTCCGCGACTCGTCGTCTTCATTAAGTCAAGGCGCGTCGTACCCGAGTGCAAAATCAAGCCGACAGACTGACTGACTGACTGAGTCGTCGCACATATGGCATATAACACCTCCTCCAGCCCTCCATTTGGCCATAGCCATGTTGCCATAACCCTTTTGTCTAATTTCACGCTGTCGTTCCTCATCAAAGACTGACGCGCGTCCCCGGCGAGTAATTCATCATTTCGCGTGACGTACTCCAGAGTCCTCGTTCTCGTCCTCGTCCTCCTTGGATTCCCCCCGATTTCCCATCACTCCATTAGGAGCAGCGGCAG